ATCCAATTAGAGTGCTCTGACAGGTAAATGAAGAGACTGACAGGTAAGTCTCTACATTTACCTGTCACAGCACTCTGATTGGTTGGTTTGAAATCCACCAATCAGAGTGCTTTGTGTCATTTTACACAGCGTGGGAAAGTTCTTTGGAATTTTCCCACGCTGTGTAATTTGACTCATAACACTCTGATTGGTTACTTAATCCACGAATCAGAGTGTTATGAGCTGCTCACTGTTTACTAGAGATACCCCTACTTGCGGTATAGCAAGAAGGGGCACAATTTATTAATACTAAGTAATCTTTATTTAGTATTAGTAAATTTGGCTGAAAGACCAGTTTAGGTCTTTCAGCCTCTTGGTAGATAACTCCCTAATACTGTGGCAATTAGGGAGTTATCTACCAAGCGGCTGCAAGAGAAGTTCCGAAATTCCGAAGTCGCAAAGTGCCGAAGTTGACGAAGTTCTAAAGTGTCGAAGTGCCGAATTGCCAAAGTGAATTTGGTTCGGAATGCCGAACCGAACTGAAAAATTTTCCCATGCACATTCTTAATAAATATAAAAACAATATATAAGACATTTAGCAGATTAGCAGATTTAATAAAAAAAAAAAAAAAAGAATCCCAAATTAATAAAAAGGGTTTTTATTCCTTAATTTTGATCTTTCAGCTGTTTATCAGATAGCTCCCATATTTAGTATCCTTAAATATGGCAATCCCACTCAAGGATAGAATATCAGGACGTTTTCTATGAAACAGCTGAAAGATCAAAATTAAAGGACCACTATAGGCACCCAGACCACTTCAGCTTAATGAGGTGGTCTGGGTGCCTGGTCCATCTAGCTTTAACCCTTTTTTCTATAAACATAGCAGTTTCAGTGAAACTGCTATGTTTATGTTAGGTTTAATCCAGCCTCTAGTGGCTGTGTTATTGACTGCCGCTAGAGGGCTTCCGCGTTTCTCACTGTGAAAATTTCCTATGGACTGGCTGAATGCGCGCGTGGCTCCTGCCGCACATGCGCATTCAGCCAAAGAGGAGGCGAAGAGGGAGGAGAGGAGGAGGAGAGCTCCCCGCCCGGCGCTGGAGAAAGAGGTAAGTTTAACCCCTTCCTGTCCATCCTGCCCGGCGGGAGGGGGACCCTGAGGGTGTTTTCCTGGCACTATAGTGGTCCTTTAAGGAACAAATACCTTTTTTAAATAAATTTTGAGCTTTCAGTTGTGTTTAGTAGATAGCTCCCTAATTTGGTACCCTAATATGGGATTGGCATTTTTAAGGATACCAAATTAGGAAGTTAATTTGGCCTATTAACATTTTTTTTGTCAATCTTTAATTTATTTGTGCATAGTGAGAACAACCCTGTTTGCACTGCCACAATAGCTGGTGCAAGCATACGATAACATTGGTATGGCATTGAAAAACATTGCACATATTTTTTTGATAATCAGAATAGGAAACAAGTTGCAGTTTGACAGGCTTATACGATTCAACATACTGATAGATTAAGTTAGTGATTGGTTGCATGAGTGCGAGTTAACTCGTTTAAGTCGTAGTGCGTTAAACTAGACCTTCGTGAGATAGGCATGGTAAAATAAAACATGCTAGAAGCTAGGCACATCAAGTCAAACAGTGTAGTAATGCTTTGTTCTGCGTAGTTTATACAGTACAATGTAAATGACAGGGTGTGCTATGTGATTGCATGTTTTATGTACTGAAGAATAGTATTATAGTGCTTGTAGTGAGACAATGGAAGCAAGGTTAAATGTCAGGCATGTTATGCACTATACGTATGCAGGAGAAATTACACAAAAAGACAGAGGATTATATTTGACCAGGCTACAATACAGGGCCGGACTGGCCCACCGGGATACCGGGAAATTTCCCGGTGGGCCGCGGCACCTGGGGGCTGTGCTGCCACATAGGTGGCACACTGAGAGGGGGCGGGCCGCGTTCCAGACTGGAGCCTCCGGTCAGGCGGCACTCCAGGCACTGCTGTCGCTGGTGGCTCAAGGAGGAGGAGCCTGTCTACCATGCTCCCTCGCGGTTCCCACAATCCCAGCACAGGAACCGCGAGGGAGCATGGTAGACAGGCTCCTCCTCCTTCAACCATCAGCAGCCAGTGACTGGAGTGCCGCCGGACCAGCGAAGCTGCCACCCGGCCCGGCGGCTCCAGTCTGGAACGCGGCCGGCCCCCTGCCTTCTCTGAGGTAAATTGGGGGCAGGGGGAGAGATAGGGAAAGGGGGGAGGGAGGGAGATGGGAGAGACATTTATTTTTGTTTTTTTTTACGAATAGATTACATTTGCACAATATTTTCCTCCTTAATTAATAATTTGCAAAAGAGAGAAAGGTGCTTGTGTATTATGACTTAATTACAACTGAAATCCATTGTAATTTATATAATTGTTACTGTCCTCTGATAATGAAAGACATTGTATTTGTTATATTTTTGTTGTTGTGTTAACTTTTTAAAGTACATTAAAATGCATCCCATTATATAGAAAAATGCTAACTTTTTTTTTTCATATTATTCTACTTAAAAATACATATATTTAGTAGACTTGTGCACTGTGAAGACACAGGGAAGGGAGGGAGGGACAGGGGAGAGACACAGGGAAAGGGGGAGGGAGGGAGAGGGGAGAGACACAGGGAAAGGGGGGGAGAGAGACACAGGAAAGGGGAGGGAGGGAGAGGGAGAGACACAGGAAAGGGAGGGAGGGGAAGGAGAGACACAGGGAAAGGGGAGGGAGGGAGAGGGAGTATTACTACAGGGAAAAAGGAGGGAGGGAGGAGACACAGAAAGGGGAGGGAGGGAGAGACAAAGGAAAGGGGAGGGAGGGAGAGGGAGAGACACAGGAAAGTGGGAGTGGAGGAGAGGGAGAGACACAGGAAAGGGGAGGGGGGGGGTGGGGAGAGACACGGGAAAGGAGGAGGGAGGGAGGAGAGGGAAAGGGGAGGGAGAGAGATGGGGAGTGAGGGAAAGACACAGGAAAGTGCTGGGGAGGGAGAGAGATGGGGAGAGGGGAGAGAGACACAGGAAAGGGGAGAGGGAGAGAGATGGTGAGTAGCTGAGAGACACTGAAAGGAGGGAGAGAGATGGGGAGGGAGAGACAGGAAAGGGGGGGAGAGATGGGTTGGAGGGAGAGAGACACAGGAAAGGGGAGGAAGAGAGATGGAGAGGGAGAGACAGGGAAAGGGGAGATGGGCTGGAGGGAGAGAGATGGGAGAGGGGAGAGACACGGAAAGTGTTGGGAGAGGATGGGCTGGGAGGAGACACAGGAGGGGGAGGAAGAGATGGGGAGAGACACAGGGAAAGGGGGGAGAGATGGGTTGGAGGGGGAGAGGGGAGAGACACAGGGAAAGGGGGAAGAGATGGGTTGGAGGGAGAGAGACAGGGAAAGGGGGGAGAGAGAGAGATGGGGAGGAGGGAGAGACACAGGGAAAGGGGGGAGGTAGAGAGATGGGGAGGAGGGAGAGACACAGGGAAAGGGGGTGAAAGAGGCAGAGGGGGAAGAGAGAGACAAAGAGGGAGAAATGAGAGAGACACACAAGGGGAGGGGAAGAAAGAGGCAGAGGGGGAAGAGAGAGACTGGGAAGGAGAGGGGAGACATTGACACATACACACACTGCCCACACACACACCATACACATTCACACACTGCCCACACACACACACACACCATACACATTCACACACTGCCCCCCCACACACACACACCATACACATTCACACACTGCCCCCCAAACCCACACACTGAACCTTTCACACACATTGCACCCCTCACACAATGCACCACTGCTCCTATACCCTACTACAGCCCCATATCCCAGCAGACTCCAGGTAAGTTGTCAAACTGTTCTTAAACGGTTTGACTACTTACTCTGGGAAGGGGTGCCGACACTCCTGGCACCATAACCACTACACAGAGGAGTAGTGGTTATTGTGCATGGAATATTTCTTTAAATAATCTACAAGTGCCCCTCCCGGGCTCAGGCTCTGAATCCGTCACTGGTATATGACATGTATATTAATGTGTATATTTGTTTTATATATATATATATATATATATATATATATACAAATTGTTAAATGAAGGCTTGCACTCACTGTCTTTTTCTTGTAAAACGTTTTTCTTCCTTTATTCCATATTCCATATTCCGGCATTTGAAATAATTGATAGAGTGTGTGCAGGGACAAAAAGGCAATAGTATATAGATATATATATATATATATATATATATATATATATATTTATTTATATTATATTTACACATATTAATGTACATTTATATATGCATAATACACAGAGAAATTTCATTAATATGTACCATATGTAATGAGCAGATATTGGCCCAATCTTGTTGCTAGGTGCATACTCAAGCACAATAACATATTTAAAGTGAAGAGCACACCCACAGGACTTCAAAATAAAAAAATTTTTACAGTTGTGCCCTACATACATTCACCATTTCAGTCCCATTAACAAGCTTTCCTTAATATGTCAAGGTAGTTGGACTGAAACATTGATTACATGCAAAGGCACATCTGCTTAAAATAAATCTGCACTTTTGTTTATTTTGAAGCCTTTGAGTGCGCTTTTTACGTTGAAGTACTTTTTCATTTTAAGTTATCTGTTCTAACTCTGTATCTGCACAGTATGCTGGCGCAACGCATTATGGGGCTGGTAAATATTTTTTTTCCAGGGCTGCTTTTAATTCCCAGTCCGGCCCTGCTACAAAAGGCTGGTAAACAGGCTATGCAAGAAGTATTCTGCAATGGAAAAGAGAGCTATTAATCATCAAATTGCCTGTGGATGCCATCAAGATACCATTAAGTGAGATTACCGCAAGCGTTGCCTACGTGGTAAATGTCCCTGTGGGCTTCTTATCTGATGCCCCGCAATGGGAGGCAGCAGAGGCTTAATTGCTAGAGTCCAGCTAGCTTTCTGTGTGGGACCCTCCAGTTCTGTGGATTATAGGACAGTTCTGCAGTATTTGAGGTCCACTGATTTATCCCTGGCTTTGTCTGCGTCCGGTGTGGTGCAGGGCGACGTGCCTTTCGCGGCTGACTAGCTTGACCCGGTTGGTTGCTGGGTGTATGGAGGGTTTGCAGCACTCTGTGTCTTCGCTGTCGTGCATGGTATCCCCTCGTGTGGATGCTTGCAGACGGGAGGCATTTCTTTCTGCAGCACCATCTTGGAGCACTGTTAAGTAGAGGAGTAACTCGCGGTGTTGCTTGGATTTCTTCCTACTTGGTCGTGTGCATTCTTTGAGCTGCCGTGCCCGGCTCTCTAGCTTCACCAAAAAGGTTTCAAGGATGGCATTTAGCCTGGTCGAGTAGTCCGGCACCTCTGTGTAGAACTCTGATGTGCACATGGCATCCGCCATTATGTCGTCCTTTGTGTCTGGGTGCCTGTCCTGCGAGCATGCAGTTTGCATCTGCCATGGCCCGGTTGATTCAGAGTGGTGGACCGGGATTACCCCCACTGGTCCTGGTGGGGTAGGCTGATATTCAGTGTCTCTGCTACCTCGGTGTTGGGTCGGAGAGATCGGCCGTCTCTACCTGACTCCAGCCCCCGTGGGCCGCGAAGTGCCTTCTCAAAGTTACGGTTGCTAGAGTTGCTCTAGTCTGGTATCTGATTGATTGCCAGGGTGTTCCTGTCTAGGGTAGTGTGCCCTGGCATTATTTCAGGTATTAATTGAAGTCGTATTGCTTTCTTTTATTGCATGATTGGCCGGAGCTCCCTCAATATACGACTGTTCAGCTTGCCGTTCAGGCGCCGCCCCCCACGGCACCCTCTTTTTAATCCTTTGGAATAATAGCATCTGAATTTAATTTCACTTCCAAAGTATTTTCCGGATTTCATTTTGTTCCATATCGATAAATTTCCGAATTTTGGACAAACTGAAATTTGAAAATGAATAAACTGAAGCGAAATACATTTTTTTGCACATGCACATCTCTGTTATGTAATTTCTACCACCACTTGTGCATGATCATACCATTCAATATTTAAGTGTTTGCACACAATAACATGCTGTAAGGAAATGTTATTAGTTAACCATTAATCTATATGTAAATAGGAGGCAAGTAGAGAAGGGAAAAAAGTGTAGTCTCATTGCATGTTTTTAAAAACTCACAATATATCACAAAAAGTTAAATTCCTGAAGAATGAAGAAGGAGTGACAGCCCTTCTCAGACATATTACTAATGTAGTGAGAATGTTTACTGGCAATAAAACCAAAATAAGAATCAGGGGGTAAATTAATGTCCCCTTGAAAACTTGAACTAAGGTATTTACAACATATCATTATTGTACCGAGTATATGGTACAAAGGGCAGAGTGGAATACAGTCATCAAAAGCTAGATCAAAGTACAGCAATGGCCAAAAATAAGGAACTTTGGGATAGGAGCCCGTAGCCATATATATGACTTAATAGATTAACAAGAAGTTAATATACCTCTTGAGTTAATATAGCATAACTAAGTTAACATCACGAGACATAAAGCTATAATATCTCAAATAGAAAGTGGCCAAGAATATTAAAGGGACACTTTAGTCTCCAGAACAACTACAGCTTAATGTAAAAATAAAAGTTGAGTGGAACAGTAGAGAGAGAGAAAAAAAAAAAGAAAGAAATAAGGAGACATTTTACTGCTTAAATGCAGTAAAGTTAGATGGGTAGTGATGTACCGAACGGTTCGCCGGCGAACGGTTCCTGGCGAACATAGCATGTTCGCGTTCGCCACGGCGTGCGAACATATGCGCGGTTCGACCCGCCCCCTATTCGTCATCATTGAGTAAACTTTGACCCTGTACCTCACAGTCAGCAGACACATTCCAGCCAATTAGCAGCACAGCCTCCCTAGCAGACCCTCCCACCTACTGGACAGCATCCATTTTAGATTCATTCTCAAGCTGCATGCTTAGTAAGAGAGGGAAAGTGTAGCTGCTGTTCATAAGATAGGGAAAAGCATAGCTAGGTTAGGGATAAGGGTATGTTTTTTTTGGATTTTTTTTTTCTATCTAATGTAAATGCACTTAGTTGTCTGCCACTGCTGCCAGCTTCTGTGTCAGGCTCACAGTGCCCATTTCTCCAGTCAGTGCCACCAATTACATCTGGTGTCACAATAGCTTGGATTTAAAAACAAAAAACTTTTTCACTGTTATAGATTGAATAGCAGTCAGTTGTCTGCCACTGCTGCCAGCTTCTGTGTCAGGCTCACAGTGCATACTGTGCCTATTTCCCCAGTCAGTGCCACCAATTACATCTGGTGTCACAATAGCTTGGATTTAAAAACAAAAAACTTTTTTTACTGTTATAGATTGAATAGCAGTCAGTGTCCTTAAAGCGGGTGTGTTACGCTAACAGTGGATACGCTGACAAGTGCCACTAATTAGATCTGGTGTCACAATAGTTTGATTTTAAAAAAAAAATAATCTTTTTTCACTGTTATAGATTGAATAGCAGTCAGTGTCCTTAAAGCGGGTGTGTTACGCTAACAGTGGATACGCTGACCAGTGCCACCAATTAGATCTGGTGACACAAAGCTGGATTTAAAAAAACAAAACACTTTTTTCACTGTTATAGATTGAATAGCAGTCAGTGTCCTTAAAGCGGATGTGTTACGCTAACAGTGGATACGCTGACAAGTGCCACTAATTAGATCTGGTGTCACAATAGCTTGGATTTAAAAACAAAAAACTTTTTTACTGTTATAGATTGAATAGCAGTCAGTGTCCTTAAAGCGGGTGTGTTACGCTAACAGTGGATACGCCGACAAGTGCCACTAATTAGATCCTGTGTCACAATAGTTTGGATTTAAAAAAAAAATAATCTTTTCTCACTGTTATAGATTGAATAGCAGTCAGTGTCCTTAAAGCGGGTGTGTTACGCTAACAGTGGATACGCTGACAAGTGCTACTAATTAGATCTGGTGTCACAATAGCTTGGATTTAAAAACAAAAAACTTTTTTTACTGTTATAGATTGA